TGAGTCAGATTTTCCACGAAGAGCAAGCACTGCAGGAAATAAATTAATCTCTAGGGAAGAAGAGGGGCAATGCTGTCAGTATTCACACAACTGCCTAATAGGAAATGATATTTCAGAATTGTTCAAAGAATGAAATGACTGCGGTTCTCCTTCCAGCATATTCTTAAATATTTAAACCTTCCCAAAACGAGGGAAATAGGTTGCTATAAAGTGAAGAGCAATCTTATAACATTTTACTTTAGGCTGTCAGTATTTCTCAACTGAAAGCAGTATTCCCTGGGTATGTAAGGGAAATTCCACTGGTGTCATTATTCTGTTTATATTATGAAAAATCTGCATTGCTGTTAAATAGAAGGATAAAAGACACACCAGATTTTTGGATTACCCATTGGAAATTATCCAGTATCTTAAATAAGAGGTTTTCTAGTCTTTGGGAGTAAAAGTAATTATTATGCTTCGAATTACTCACTATCTAGAATAACACTGAATTATTGAAGTGTGCCTGTGTGCCTTTATTAAAATTGAGAAGCAAGAATATGTTTTATGATTTCTAAAGTACCTACCTCTTGAGAGCATGTATTCAGTCATTCAGAGTCAAGTTTTAATACAGAACCCCCACCTTGTCTAATTCTCAAAATAGTTTTGATAGAGAAAGTTCAATACAAATCTTTTTATCTTCCTATAAATCCATTCATTCTTTCTAGCTTCCACCTCGACCTTGGGGAAGAGCTTTTCATTGAGCTTATTCCTCTTTTTTGTTTAGCTTATATATTAAGTATGTTCCGAGATGTGGTGAATCATTTCTCCATGAGACATACTTAAAGATGAACACAGTGTCATGACTATGACATTGGAATAGGCCATAGAATCACAGGCTTTCAGAACAGACGTCATAAAGATTACCTGGTTCACCTCCTATTTTGATGAGGAAAACAGAACTCAGTAAGTGAAATGGCCTGTGAAAGGCTGTACATCTAGGGTGTACTGACCTGGGATCAGACCTTATGGTACCTGTATTTTGTTTTCTGGCCGAGAGTCTTCTCACTACCTGACAGGTCTGATTTATAGAGGATGAGTCATGGCATGGGTTTAGTCTAAAGATGTAGGAGTAATTAGAATATAGTTGAAGCTTCAAAAGCAAGGAAATTCCATTAGAGAAGGTTGATCAGGAGAGTTATTAAATTTGTTCAGTAGAGAACATTTATATTGGGCAAAACCAAATAGATATATATTTTTTAATTTGATTTATTTATTTATTTTTTATTAAAGTATAGTTGGTTTACAATGTTGTGTTAATTTCTGGTGTACAGCATAGTGATTTTGTGTATATATATATTCCTTTCCATATTCTTTTTCATTATAAGCTATTTCAAGGTATTGAATACAGTTCCCTATGCTATATAGCAGGACCTATTTTATATATAGTAGTTAGTATCTGCAAATCTTGAACTCCCAAATTAGCCCTCCAACTGCCCCCTTCAGTAACTACAAAAAGGTTTGTTTTCTAGGTTGGTGAGACTGTATCTGTTTTGTAAATAAGTTCATTTGTGCAACTAGGCATATTTTAAAAGACTTTCCTTTTTGGCAGAGATGGTAGCTTCTAGAGAGACACATGAAGAGGAAAAAAGAAAACGGCCCCCTGTTTAGCCAGTCAGGTCACCAGAAGCAATCTCTGCAATTAATGTGTGACCTACATAGTAGCCAGCTCCTCCTCACAACCAAATGACAATCCTCTGATACCACGTGACTTTGCCCTGGGCTGAAGGGAGCCACCTTGCCCATAGTCATGCTACCTTTTAGGGAGGCTCAAAGGCAGCTGCACCCAGTGATTGATTGACTGAGGCAGAGGCTATAAAAATCTGGCCTCCTCATCCCAATCCAGGACAACTCTAAAGAGCCAGGCCAGCTCCAGAGCTCCCTGGTGTCAGCTGAGGTCTTTCTTGTGACTGCATTATGATTCAACTTCTCCCTCTGTCCAGACCTGCTTTTGTTCCTCTGCTCTATGTGTTGTTCCTGAAAGCACTTCTCAATAAACTTTCTACACACAAGTCCACCCTGGGAACTGGACATGAAACAAACAGCTTAAAACAAACATTTGCACTTAACACATATTATCTACCAAAACTAGCATTATACCTGATTACACAGTGGGGCTCTGGGCTCTTTCTGAGCTCCTGCAGCTGAGCTAAAACAGGGAAGGGGTCCGTTAGGGAGGCTCAGGGCTTCCATGTCCTGCACAACTGTAGTGTTTCTCGGACTCTGAGGATTCAGTGACATCTCCAAAAGATTTCTAATCACTTCCCATATCCATAGGATTCATAGAGGCCATGAAATTCTCAAGAGGATACACTCCTCGAAGAAAAAAAGTGCAGACAGAAACTCAGTGAGTTCAAGAGCCACATCAGGAGGTCTCAGCCAGCACTTTGCAAAATAAACTGGCAGGAAGCAACGTTTTCCTTAGCCATCAATTCAAAAAGATGCAGAAGCTAATCATCATAGCTATGATTCAACTGGAGTTTATTATGTACCATACCAACTCTAACCTATCTTATCTAATGTAGTCATCAAAATAGTCCATGGGGTAGCACTATTATTAACCCAATTTTCTGAATAAAGAGAGGAATTAATAAATTGCTTGTGGTATACAGCTAGGGAGTGGGGGAGCCAAGGTTTAAACCCAGCAGTCTTAAGTTCAGACTCCAAAGGTTAACCACTTAATCATCCTACTTTCAGAGAACTGTTCTTTTAGTAATTTATAGACAAAACAACATGCAGACTTAATAACAATGCTCCCAAAATAAGACACGGGCCTTCTCGAGCAACTGGAGTGAATCAAGGACCCAGAGACGAAGGTTACCCACGAGATTTGGTGAAGCATTTTCATCAGTTTCTTAAGTAAAGGGGAGCTGGGACTCACAACACTGATCCCGAAGTAGAGTTTACTGTGCTCCTGGCTGCAAAGGAATAAACTCTTCATTACACAACATGTGTTCAGCCACTGACAGCGAATCTTATAGCTGTCAACAGTGAATTTCAAAATGAAGAATTCCCTTTAGTATAATTTTAGATACATATCTGAAATGGTTCCACTTCATCTAGCTGAAAGAACAAGACTTGAGTGTCCAAAAGGAGCAAAACTAGAGAAGCAGTTCCCTTGTCTGTTTTGCTTTGTTTTCTCTGTGGTATGCTACAAAGACTCTACAACTGCCATTCTCACCCAAAGAGAATTTAGGAAATGACTGACTTATGTCTAAGCATTAAAAAGAGGTGAAAGCTCAGAAAGGGTATCATTTGCCCATCCTGAACTCCAAGGCAGTTGGTGAATATTCACAGATGAGCTATTCATTCCAAGTACAGTAAATGTTAAGTATAGATCCAAGGAGTCTTTTTTTAATGATGAAAAAACATACTATATTTCACAAGACAAAAATTAAGTTTGAAGAATTATATTTCTGCTTTAGTTTACTTTTGTATTTTTATATATGTAATTGTTATATAATTATACTTCATCATGAAGACAGACTCTGTGATTCATTGTAAATATGAATGGGAAAGCAAGTGAAACTATGGTCCAGATGTGCATAGTAGGTAATTTTTAAATCAATGCATATTGAAATTAACATAATAAAGGAGATTTCATTTTACTCTCTTGAGTAAAGCTAGTCTCACTTGCTTAGAACTATTACTTTAATTCCAGGTCCTCTTTTTCCTTAAACTACCACTAATGTGAAATATATTCAAAGCAGGTCCTGCTCCTGAGTTGAAACAAACTCTGCACAGTTTATTCAGGACACAAAGCTGGGGCTGCCACATACCACCCCAAGAAGATGCACACACAGAGAAAGATCAGATAAGTTTTCCTATGATTTAAACCAAAAGTCTGATCTCAGCAATTGTGCTATCTGGTACTTTTTAGGATCCATAGTTTTAAGGAAAAAAAAGAGTTTCCAATGAATTAATAATAGCTTGAGACTCAACACGCTGCACCAATTTTCACTGCAGTAGTTGTTTCTTTTATAGTCACACTTGGTTAGTATTTGAAATTTGGAGGAATTGCAATATGCATGGTTTTCAAAGCCCTTTATAGAATTTCACTTTTATCATTCAGAAAGAGTCAATGAAAAGGTAATAAGAAAAGCTCTACGGGATATTTTTATAGGAGTGTCAGAAGCCAGTAAGTTAACTACATGAAAGAACCCAGATTGTGCAGACAGAGTTTCAGCAGAAACACTTCAGAGACTTTATTTCTAGTATTTTGACTTTTACATGCCCTTGGAGGAAAAAAGAGTGCTGGCTACAAGACCAAATAAGGAGGGGAAAGGAACAAACCATATGCTTAAGAATAATTACAGTTTCAATTTTTCTACAAACGAACTGTGAAGTTTCAAAGATAAAGTGTAATAGAAATTGAGCTGCTTTGGTGTGTTAAAATATTGCCAAGAAAGAAAATTCTCATTTCCCTTGCTAACTCATCCCAGATTCCCACAATATGGAAGTTAATCTGGGTAGCTTAATTGAATGCTATCAACTTCTCCACAAGCCCATTTGCTCTTGTTTTGCTTTTAGTAGAGATGAAAAATATCAGATCACCATCTCTATAAACCAAAATATTCCAATTCAAGTCGAAGTTAGGCTACTTATCTGACACTTCTTTAAATTAAAAGTACCTTATTATTTTTACCTCTTCTCAAGTCATTAATCCTTATTATTAATTCTAGAGAATGTTAAAGAATATTGTCATGATAATACAAACAATCTTAAAATAAAACACTTCCTTGGCCCTCAAAACCATAAATGAGAAGAAAAATCTAATAACAGAGAACAATGAACAGACCTATCGTCATTTTAAGTGTTTAACATTATGCTGCACTTAAAACTACATTTCAGTGAGATCTGCACTTTGACTGAGTCGTATACCCTGAACAAAATGGCAGTAAGAATCCGTATATTGCTCATTGTCATGGAGGCAGTTAAAACCAGTATCATGAGGCATCACCGACCTGTGGTTACTTTGGTGCCTGCTACTGCAGTTGTCCCAGTCTTTCTCTTGCCTTTCTCCAGATCAGCCGAATCATTTTGACAACCAACTGGTACTTTTGAATCCAGGCCAGCTTGATTTGAGTGCAGTTTCTTGGATCTATCTACATGGAGACTCTGAAACGACACAGGCCAGAGTGATTGATTTCACAAGTAAATTATCAGTCCAAAATAAATGCTTCCCAGAGATATGACAAGGATAAACATTTATCATATGGCAAGTTATTTCTACAGATATGAGACAGAACAGTCTATATGTCAAAGTGAGTTACAAATTTTATTTTCATCAACGTATTTTGGTAATCCAGATGTCGAAGTTTTGAGGCAATCTAAGTGACTAGAATAAGAAGTCATCTCAGGCACAGAATATCGTTTTCAAAGACCACTTGTGTGTATTACTTTCTTCTTGTAAACTTTTAAAAATATTTTTCACTTAGAACATTTTCCCTTGGTTTTATTCTTATAGTTTAATAATCCAGCATTTCATTGTATATTACATAATTATGTGTTATATAATGAAGTACAGGATTCATTTCTGTATTATTTGTACTTTCTGTATTAAAAAACTAATCATAACATTTACTTTAAAATAACCCACATTTTTATCAACGTTATGCAAATTTGACAAATCTCCTCTAGTCAATTTAAGAATAATAATTCATCATAACAATGAATTATTAAGGCACAACATCAATGGATCCTAAAACACATCTCACACACAAGAGATGTCATAACGTTTGATGCTGTGCTGACATATTGCATGCTTCAAAAGAATTGTCAGATATGAGCAAACGCAAAAGACCCAAATAGGAAACTGAACTTTCAGCACGCTGCTTCATACCCAAATTCAGATCAGAAGTTTTTAAGTTTGAATATGATTACAAAATATTCAAAGATTAATGGAGTCAAAAGTAGCCAATCAATTTTGGCCATCAACACTAGCCATTTTGGTTCCTAAAGGATAGGGAAATGAGTAATTTTCCTTTAAGTTCCTCTTATAGACTGTGTACAGCATTCAATTCATTAAAAACTTAATTAAAAGCTTGAATCAAAGGCTTTTAAAGCTTGGAAAGAGCCAAAAAGGAAATGAGGGTCCAGAATGATTAAATAACTTACCCTAAATAATTTACCCAAATTAACAGAATAAACAATGCCAACCAAGTCTCAGGTATATGTCTCCCAACCCTTAGTCCAGTGCTCTTTCCATCACTCTGTGATCAATTTGCTCATTTATTCTTTCAATGTGGTGGGCCAGCTGCACTAATGGCCCCACTTCTTTACTCCTCTCTGTATCCATGTCTTTTCTGTGCAATTTTGCAGTGCTTTCCTACTCTGACTTCTGACTTGTCCACGTGACTTCTTCTGGACCAAGAGGATACTGACACGTGTGACACAGAGATTTGAAAGATGTTTGCACAACTGGTTTTGCTCATTCTTGTCCTTCCACTTTGCCATGAGAACATGCCTAGACTAGCTTTCTGGAGGTTGAACAGGACAGAAAGCAGAGCCAGGTCACCCAGTCTTCCAAGATAAGACTCACCAGGTGGCCGTCCGGACAAGGTAGGATCCCCCGGGAGGAATCAGGTCCTGTCCCATTGGACAGAAGAGGAGGCTGATCCCCTCCTACAGGCTCTCCATCTGATGGTATTTCAGATGGGGAAATCAGGAATCAGGTCAGGAATCAGGTCCTGTCCCAGTGGACAGAAGAGGAGGCTGATCCCCTCCTACAGGAAACAGGATATTGGTATTGGTGGGAGGAATGTTATTAACCTCTGTGTGTGTGTGTGTGTGTGTGTGTGTGTGTGTGTGTGAGAGAGAGAGAGAGAGAGAGAGAGTGAATGAGCAGCCTGTGAAGCATGCCATCAGGCTGGAGTTTGTAGCTCCACGGCATTCTGCTACGGAGTTCGAGTGAGTCCCAACCTGTGGTTCCGTGGTGACCTCATACGGCTCAGGGCGGTATCGGTCCCTCAGGGTCCCGATCGGAGTCAGCAGCTTATACTGACCCGCCAAAGCTAAGAGGCACCTTCGTCCCCGCGAGGGGAGTGGCCAGGCGGACACAACGAAAATCCTCCCTTGTCTTGTCTGCGACACCAGCACAGGGTGGCTACACAGGGAGGGAAAAGGACATAGACAGCCAATGAGTCATCGCCCCTGTGCCCTCGGAGGCTAGGATGCTATTTCTTTGATAAAGTCTCCTACCTGACTCTGTCACAGAACACCTGAGACTTATTGTTCCCCTACTGAACTGACCCAAGTAGTGCCCCTTTTGCCTAGCCTCAGACCCCCAGGACTCAAGTTTAGAAAACAAATTCCTTCAGGACCGGGCTTGCCTGGCCCTGGAGGTCCCTTTTCTAGTCCATTTGTTTT